GTCTCTGTGCTGAGGCTCGCAAACGGCTGCTCGTGCTAAAGCCAGATGCGAGTGGACATAATAACTTAATCATAAGTGATTAAGTAGCTTGTTCAGCTCCCGGAGTAACATCTGTCGGGCAAAGCCGGCTGCTCACTGCAGAAGTGCGGATGGCTTTGTGCCCCGGGACAAAGCCGCGTGCAAACACCCTAAGTTTGGGGACGTGCAGGCCCTGCTACTTTGCACTGCCGCGGTTCCCAGACTGTGGCGTCACCGTCCGCTGGAAACGTCACTGCATCCTGCCCTTCTTGTGCAAATCAAGCACAAATCAGGCCCTGTTATCTTGGGGGATTTGCAGTGGATCTACCGTGAGGACCAGGAGCAGGAGAAAATAATTTGGCCAGAGGGGACAGCTGCTCCTTCTTGCCGGATTAGTCACTCGAGGCTTCAGCCTGAAGGATGCTCAGCATCCTCCTCGGCTGCCCAAGCCCAGACTGCGATCATACTCCAAGGCCAGGCCCGCTATGTTTTTCTTTTTCCTCCCTAACAAACAGCCTCGATCACACAACGTCTCCTCTCGCTCTCAGAACAGCACCAGCTGGACTCAGATCACAATCTGCCCCAAGCACTTCGGTCCAGACAAAATACTAAGCATTTTGTTTTAGCACCTAGCTTCATGCGAGAGCTCCTGTCCTGCTGCTGACTCCTATGGCCCAGCGGGGTCGGGGGGGTTTCCAGCTGTGACAACAGCCCCAGCTCCTGCATGCCTAGCATGTACAAGGGAGCAACCGGGTGAAAATGGGCTAAACCTATGCGTTTTGTAACCGCCTTATTTCTCCTGCTCTACTGTAGCACTCTGCTCCTCGCTTGGCTCCGTGCGGCCCCGCGACACCGGCTGCCGGGCTGACGGGAGCATCCAGCAGCAAGCTGCGCCCGTCGCCGTCGGACCCACGGAAAGGAGCGGTGCCCACGGACATGCACCGTGTCCGGACGCAGCCGCACCACGGGGCCGTGCAGGGGGGCATTTTGGGCCCCGAAGCAAAGCGATCTGGAGAGGAGGAGAGTGGTTGTGGCTGTGGCTAAAGAAACACTGGGCCTCATGAGCTCACGACGCGGAGGTGTGGAGTCGGGCTGACGGTGGCGGAGGCAGCCCCGGCCTCTCCTCCGGAGAACGACAGAGTGCAGCTGAGCACCCTTACGGGGCTGGGGACCTGAAGAGAAGCCATCACCTGAAACATGAGCACGAGCAAAACTCGAGAAAGAGGTTGCCAATAAGCTGAAGGGGCCATGCTGGGGATGACGACAGCACGCGTGTTGGCCGGCATGGGCTGGCGGAGCTGTGTGTGTCTGTGACAGATGTAGTACAGGAGCTGAGAGAAGAGGAACAGAGGCCAAAAGTACAGATAGGAGAGCCACGGTGGCATGATGGAGAGCCAAGGTGACGTGATGGAGAGCTAAGGTGGATGGTGGAGAGCCACGGTGGCATGATGGAGAGCCAAGGTGGCGTGATGGAGAGCTAACGTGGACGGTGGAGAGCCATGGTGGCGTGATGGAGAGCCACGGTGGTGTGATGGATAGCTAAGGTGGATGATGGAGAGCCAAGGTAACGTGACACAGAGCCATGATGGCGTGATGGAGACTCTCACAACTGTGAGACCGTGTCTCCAGGGGCCTCATGCCTGCTGTCGGGCTCAGGCTTCCCCAGGTTGCACAGGACGGTGCCAGCGCCAGCCCCTTGCCCTTGCGGGGAAGCCGCAGCACGTGCGCGTTTGACCCGTCCCCAGAGGGTAACGGCGGGATGACGACAGCTCTGGGAGGGGACACCCGTCCCCCGGGGGCCGTGTGCACTCGGTGGCAGTTCACACCTGGCAAAGCTAGCCAGCGCAGCAGGGGTTGCCCCGGCGTGGGACCGGCTCACAGCCCCGGGGAGCCCCGG